GATAACAACACCAACATCAATAATAATAATAATAATAATAATAATAATAATAATAATAATAATAATAATAATAATTACTGTCAAAATGGTGAAAGAAATAATAGTACTAACAACAAATTATGGTAACAGTATAAAAGTGATGACTGTAACTATGGCTGCCATAACAATCCTGTGGGCAACGATGGTTGTAGGGATGATGACATAGACAGTGACGTATGACTTCTGTATCGACATAAAAGCCTTAATAATGAACATAAACAACCACGTGGTCAGGGGCGGATTTTTTAAGGGAGGGGAAGCCACGTCCCCCAAACTTTTCTAAAATTTAATATATATTTTAATATTATATTTATATATTATTATATTATTAATTATAATAAAATTAAAAGTTTGAATTTATTCTCTTTCCGGGTTAACTTTTTAAAGAAGTTTTCAAAGTTGAAAGCCGAAGTTAGAAAGCCTTTTTCTTAAATTAAAATTTCTCTTTTAGTCACTCATTCACATTTATGACTTTCTAATTCTTCTCTCCTCCTAATATTATGAACTAGTCAATTAAGATTTTTTATCTCTTCAATGTTTTCGCCCTTCATCCTTATATCTTTTCTATACCATTTTTTACTTATTATTTTTCTTTTTTAATTGTTTCTCCATCACCGTGTATTTTGTTTCTCCTTTTTCTCATTTAGCTATGATCTTTGTGTTCATCATTTCTTATGATGTGCAAATAAAATCATATAAGTACTAGCAAAAAATAGAGAAAAAAAACTTGAATTACGTTGCAAACTTGAATTTGCATTGAACATTTTGGTGAACTAAATAAAAGCTCATTTCTCCTTTATGATTATTTTAGAAATAATTAGTGAATGATAATATTTTTCTTAAATTTTATTATTATGCATGTTTATTTTGAATAAAAAAATAAGAAATTTTATTATTTTTAATTAATAAAAAAATTAATTTATATATAAAAAATTAATTTAGTACCTCAACCTTTTTTATTCAAGTTCCGCCACTGGACGTGGTCCCTTCTGAATCAAAGCCAAAAACCTGTTAGATAGTCCAAGCGTTGCATGCACTTTGTTTCTATCCCCTACACCCGCCCCCATCGCAAAATCTGTCTTTCCACAGCTTCTTCAATGGAGGCAGCATCATCAACAAGAACCCACATAGCCCTAGTCTCTGTCCCCGCTTTCAGCCACCAAGTCTCGATCCTCGAGTTCGCCAAGCGCCTCCTTCACCTCCACAACGACGACACCTTCCATGTCACATGCATCATTCCCACTCTCTCTTCACTCTCCACTCCCTCCAAGCCCTTCTTCCACACCCTCCCTCCCAACATTCACTGCATTTTCCTCCCCTCAGTGCACTTCGACGACCTCAAGAGCAATGGCGTGTCCTTGGAAATCCAACTTCAGCTCTCAGTTTCCCGAGCCATGCCCTCCGTTAGGGACACTTTAAGGTCACTCCTTGGTAGCGCCAACGTGGTTGCCCTAATTGCCGATGCCATGGTTCCCGAGGCACTGGAGTTTGGGAAGGAACTCAACATCTTGTCCTACATATACTTCCCTTGTTCCACCATGTTGCTATCTCTGTGCCTTCATTCTCCTACCTTGCATGAAGAGGTTTCATGTGAGTATAGAGACCACCCCCATTTGATACAGATTCCGGGTTGCATCTCCATTTATGGCAAAGATCTCCCAAACAGTGTTCAAGATCGGTCCAGTTTGGATTACAAGCTGTTCCTTAAACGTTGCCAAAGGTACCGTGGAGTTCATGATGGTATATTGGTGAATAGCTTCGTGGAAATGGAGGAAGAGGCAACAAAAGCAATTACCCAAAATGGTATTAGTAATGGTGATGATGTCGGTGACGCTCATAGTAACTACCCTCCTATTTTTCAAATTGGACCCATCATACAAACTGGGCCTAGTGATCCAAAAATTGGTTGTGAGTGTTTATTGTGGTTGGATAAGCAACCACGTAACTCGGTTCTTTATGTGTCCTTTGGAAGTGGTGGCACACTCTCACAAGAGCAGATTAATGAGCTTGCTTTGGGGTTGGAATTGAGCAAGCACAAGTTTCTGTGGGTTAATTTGAGAGCACCAAATGACAAAGCAAGTGCTACTTATTTTGTGGGTGATGGTTTGGTGGATGACCCTTTGAGTTTTTTGCCTTTGGGGTTCTTGGAGAGAACCAAAGGGCAGGGTTTGGTTATCTCTGGCTGGGCCCCACAAGTTGAAGTCCTAGGTCACGAGTCAGTGGGTGGATTTTTGACTCACTGTGGTTGGAACTCGGTTTTGGAGAGTGTGGTGCATGGAGTGCCAATGATGGCTTGGCCTTTGTTTGCTGAACAAAGAACCAATGCTGCTTTGGTGACTGATGGGTTGAAAGTTGCTGTGAGACCAAAGGGTGACACTAGTGGCAAGAGTGTGGTGGTGAAGGAGGAAGTTGCTGAACTCGTGAAGAGACTCATGGAGGGGTTGGAGGGTGGAGAAATTCGGAGGAGGATGAAGGATCTGCAGAAGTTTGCTGCTTGTGCTGTGATGGAAGATGGGTCTTCCACAAGGACATTATCAAAGTTGGCACAAAAGTGGAAAAGTTTGGGAAGATTTTACCAAAAGAATATTGAATGTGGTAATTAATCGCATAAGTTTCAACTGTTTCTTGATTTAGTATTGGTTTACATATTTAGTTTTAATTTTGAGTTTAGTCTCTTTAAATTTAGGCCAAAAACCTATTTGGTCCTTTATAATAATTATTTGTTTCAATTTAGTCCCATTTTTATTTTTAGTCTCAATTTGGCCCCTAATAAATTAATTGGTTTCAATGTCGGATTTCCGTCCAAATTATTTAAACAGGATTAACTGTTGGCCACGTGGATGTTGAATTTCTTGAAAACACCTGGAATCAGAACGGCCCGTTCTGAAACCAGAATGACCCGTTCTGGGTACACTCTTGGTGTGTTAATTTTGCATTTAGAAAATAAAATATTTTATATTAATTTTATTAAAAAAATATAATAATTTTGAAAAATATTTTTTTATCGTAAAAATTTTAAAATTATTTATTTTTATGAAATATAATTATCTTATAAATAGAGTGATAACTTTTCCTTTTTTTCTTTTTGTCTGAAGAAATATTTAAGTGTCACTTTATAATTTTTTGCAACTTATTTAAAATTAGAGGAATAAAATGATAAAAATTAATAGGATAAACATAATAAAATTATTAACTTATTTTCTTTTAGTGTCCTCTAAATTTTTACACTCATTTAAAATAAAAATATTTTATATATTAATTTGAATTAATTTAATGAAGTATCATATGATTTTTTATTTTTTAAAAATTTTTATAAATTTGATCTATACATGAAAAGCTTTTTAATTTAACAATTAAATTTTTAAAAATTTGATATAAAACATTAATTATTAAGTTGAATAAATCTATCAAAACTTACTCTTGAAGTAAGTGAATTTTTTCTTCATTAAAAATGAAGATAATTTTATCATAAAATAAAAAAAAATTAAACAATAAAATAAAATATAAAAAAATATTAATGTATTTATTATATTAGATATAGCAACATAATTAAAATATAATTAATAATATATATTTTATAAAATTATTAATATTTTATATATAAAAAAAAGAATGAAAAAAATTTTAGTGGGGGCAAGTGCTCCCACTATGATTAACTTAGATCCGTCCCTGCATATGGTTGTGTGGTGAAATGTTAGTCCTGTGTATCTTCTTCCTTTACTTTAGGTTCTACCTCTTCAAGAAGAGATTGTTGTTGTTGGGGTACATCGTTAATGACTTCAAGGAAAAATACCATGTCAGTTCATCCTTTACTGTATAGTGTCAATTTGGTAGTAAGTGATTCAATCCAGCTTGACTAACAATGAAATAAAATCTGCTACCATTGTCTTTAGTGATACACTGCATTGTCCTTAATGATACACTGTATAGCCCAACTGTTTAGCAATTGAAGTTATCAATTTCCATTAAGAATATTACCAAATCCAGTGTTTGAAATACTTTGTACCCATGGTCTTTTTCCTTTCACGATTCACAACTGTGAACTATAATCATTAATCATTTATGTTTAGCAGTCTGAAACCAGAACGACTCGTTCTGAAACCAGAACAGCCTGTTCTGGTTCCATGTGTTTTCATCAAAATTTGGTATCCACCTATGCATATACGTGACATTTACGTGACCAACAGTTAACTCCATTTAAATAATTTGGACAAAAGTCCGACATTAAAACCAATTAATTTATTAGATACCAAATTGAGACAAAAAATAAAAATGGGACTAAATTAAAACAAGCAATTATTATAAGGAACTTAAAAAACTATTTTAGCCTTAAATTTAAAATTGATTGAATCGGCCACCAATATCTTTTACACCAATTAAAAGAAATATTTATTTCAGTCCTTCGGTTTAAATAACATTAATTAATAAACCTGTGAAATAAAATTTATTGTTTCTGTCAGTAATGCTTTTAGAATACTAGTTTTGAGAAGTTGAAACAAACTTTTCTTTAATGATACTCAAATACTAAAATAAGTCAGTTTTAAAAGAATAAAAAAATATTTAATTTAACTAAATTTTTTATTTCAAACGTCATAACACATTTACTACAATCCTGATACACGAGTCATAACTAGGGATGATAAATATACTCGTACTTGCGAGTAATACCTGAACTCGTCCCGACTTTGACAGGAAATACCCGGATTGACTGAGTATAGATACGAGTAAAACCTGATATATTAAATCGGGTACGGGTACGGGTATGTACTTAACCGCCCCATACTCGTACTCGTACCCGTACCTGTCCCTGTTCCCATTTTTAGTTTAACACTCACTTTTAATTTAATTATATTAAAGAATTTTAATATTTTTTATGTATGATTATTTATTATAATGTGAGATAGATAAATAATTTAATTATAATTATAATATAATAAAAAAAATAATTTAAAAATATCATATTTTTTTATAAAAATAAATAAATAAATTGACGGATACAGGTACGGGTACGGGTATACCCGATACCCGCGGGGACGGGGATGAGAATGAAAATCATATACTCGACGAGTATGGGTACAAGGATAAGGATGAGTTTGACTCACGGGCACAGGAATGGGTATCATGAAACCCATACTCGACCTACCCTGTTGCCATCCCTAGTCATACCACATGTGCTTCGATACACATTTTACGAGTAAAGATTAATCATTTATATATAATCAACTTTGACATATTTTATAGATCATAATTAATATATATAGATCG